ATCATACACAGATAGAATATTTTATTTTAAAAGCATTTTTAAATCCTGTTTATTAATTTTAATACTAAACTAGAGAGAAGGGCTCTATAAAATAAAAGTCAGGTTAGGCCCTAGACCCTTCTAAATTGCTCTTATTCTGACTTATTTGTTATCAGAACAAAAGGCATTATTTAATTATTAATATAAATTGGTTCATATCTGGGATATTGTTGTTTTATTTAAATTGTAGAATATATTACAGAGAATTGAAAATAAAATGACATTTACATCTGATGGTCAGTATTTGCTGTCTAACGGTTGGTGTGGAAACAGAGAGTCCTCTGGGGCCATCAGCATTTGCTGCTCACTATGAGGACTGCAGCATCCAGCTAAAAGGTTCCTGGGAGCATTTCTTGATGGATGACAGCCATCTTCCAGCATGTGTCTAAGCTGGTACCTGTGGCGCACTACTGACTGTTTGTGGTGATGGTCTTTTCCAGAAACGGACATGCAACTTTATAATTGGCGCGCTCCCCTGGAATGCCGATTTCACCGTGATGAAGATGCAGTGTGCAGACCTCTAGGGGCTTCTGGAGCACGCCCCGCTGTCTCTGCCTTGCTCTGTGACCAGAACTGGTAGAAACATGCTTTCCTCATGCACACGTCTCTGCTTGCTGTTTTATTTTCCAGTTTCATAGTATGTGGTAACGGAAGATGGGCATGTCCATTTCCTCCTTCCTGGTCGCAGTGGGACCCCTTGCCTTTCGCCAACCTGATGGTCCACCACCAGGAATATGCTTATCACTGGGTTCAGAGGACGGAGTGAGGTCTGATTCTAACTCCTCTGCAAGTGGGAGGAGGAATCGGTTTTGATTGGGTAACAGCACCTTACAGAGTTAGGAACCCTGTAACTCCACATGCTCCTTTTGGAAACCTCTTTTGCCTGGGGCTACCTTAGAACTTGAAATTTTTATCGAAGTAATTATATTTATTTATAAATAGAGCATTACAGAAATAATTAACTTAGTGACATTCCTGAGTAATCTCATTCCTCAGGCACAAGCTTATGGATGGTCTCCAGATTTTCTCTTATTTGAGCTTAATAACACATTATCTTTACTCTTAACAAGTCAAAATCTTGCTCTGCTTAGTATTTTACAACTTTCTTATCACATTTATATAGAGGACACAGCTTTCCTTGTAAGTACATGCACATATTTTTGTTGCTTTTTAAAAATCTCATTTCATGGACGTTATATATCTTATTTAATAGTCTACTTTGATACATATTTTGGCTAATTTTCTTTACTGTTAAAATTTCTTGTTACAGTAAATAATTTTTCAGTCAGTTTTGTACACATGGGCAAATATTTCTGTGGGATGCAATCCTAGAGGCAGCACATCGTGCAAAGGAATGTGTAACTTTTAACTGCTCAACAGAGACTGCTGAGTCATTGTGAACAAAGACTGTTGGATTCCCACTCTGCCAACATTGATGAAAGAACCTTATTTAGAAGGCCTTGTTATTGTATTTCATTTCCCCCCCAATATATAGGAGAATAGTGACATTTTATTGTTGGGTTAATTTGAACTTTTATTGTTGAGGAGGTTACTACTAGTAAGCATATATTTTACATGTGTATTAGATACATTTATATTTTTTGTATTTGTAACTTTTATGCAAGTTACCTATTGAATTTTTGTAATGGCTCTTTGATATGGAAATTAAAATTTTCTGTGTCAGATTTGTCAAATTCATACCACTTGTCTCACTTCACACCCAACAGGATGAATATAAAAAAAAAGATAGATAATGCTCTGGCCAGTGTGGCTCAGTTGGTTGGGTGTTATCCCATATACTAAGGGGTTGCTGGTTTGGTTCCTGCTCAGCCCACATACTCAGGTTTTGGGCTTGATCCCCAGTGGGGGTGTGAAGGAGATGGCCAATCAACGTTCCCTCTTGCATTGATATCTCTCTCTCTCTCTCTCTCTCTCTCCCTCTTTTAAAAAAAAAAGACATAATAATCAATATTGTCAAGGAGGTAGAGAAATTTGAATCCTTATACATGGCTGATGGGAATATAAAACAGTAGAGCCACTTTGGAAAACCATCTAATAGTTCTTCAAAAAGTTAAACTTAGAATCATAGAATTACCATGTAAGCCAATAACTCCACTTTAAGAGAAATAATATTACCTCAAGAGAAGTGGAAACATATGACCACGCAAAAGCTTAAACATGAATGCTCATAGCAGTATTATTCAAAATAGCCACAAAGTGGAAACAACCCAAATGTCCACCAATTGATAAATGGATCAATTAAATATGTAATATAAACAATGAAATAGTACTCAGCAATAAAAGGAAATTAAGTAGCAATAAGTGCTACAACATGGATGAACCTTGAAAAATGTCAGCATGGTTGATGCCAGCTGACATCTTCCAGATGGTATTTCGGGTAATAGCTTCTGCCAGCTGTGGGCCCGCAGCTCCTTAGCCCAGGTTCCACCAAGGACTGCTCCTCCCCAGGCCTCTCAGTCCCAGACCCCCTGAGACTGGCTGGCTGGTGCCTCTTCCTGACTCTAAGACCATGAAATCAGCTAACAGAACCCTGAAATAAATGGCTGTGGGGGTGCTTTCTGTTCCAAATGGTTTAGTCTAAAGCCCAGAAATGTAGAAGGTCAGGAGGCATAGAACAAGAGTGAAGACTTCTGCACAGTGAGCGGGAGGGCGGGCGGGTGAGGCATGCTGATGGCTGTTGGTGAGCCTGTGAACTGAGGGGTGAGGGACCCTGTCAGAGGTGTTGCTCACTTGAGCTACATCAGAGGGGCTGGGCTTACCTCACAAAAGGGCCATAGCTGTGACCACCTTGCTGGGGAGTGTATCCAGAGGAGAGGCAGCCCTGAGCTACGGTCCCACTGACACCCTGACCAGGCACAGGCATGAACTGAGCGTGCTGGGGACTCAGGGTGCCACAAGAGGGGAGCTGGTCAGAGCTCAAGTCCCCAGGAAGGAGAAAGATAGCACCGTGGGTCTGGGCATTCAGCTCCAGGCTCAGCAAGCAGGAAACTGGTGAAGGACTTGGTTCTGAGGTGGGTCTGGGGTAAAGCGGTACTGGGTGGGAGATGACTGGAATGCCAGGGTGGCCTCCAGGCATGCCCTAGGCCCATGGTCGGCAAACTGCGGCTCATGAGACACATACAGCTCTTTGGCCCCTTGAGTGTGGCTCTTCCACAAAATACCATGGCCTGGGCAAGTCTACTTTGGAGAAGTGGCGTTAGAAGTTTAAGTTAAAAAAATTTGACTCTCAAAAGAAATTTCAATCGTTGAACTGTTGATGTTTGGCTCTGTGGACTAATGAGTTTGCCGACTACTGCCCTAGGCCTCTTATTTCAGAGTCACAGCGCAGAACAGGCCAAAGTTTGCTGCTCAAATGGCACTTGTTACCAAATCAGTGTAAACCATTGACCAAGAAGCAAGGCAATGAGAAGGAGCAGGTTGAAATGCTTAGGATATGAGGCCTGTGGGGTAGACATGGAGCCTGGGCCGGCCATGTTCTCTGTGGCATCAGCCTCTTCCGGGCGAGTCTGCCTTGCCCTCACATAACTGGGCACACTGTGTGGCCTTCCCCACAGCCCAGAATTCTGTTTACATTTTCTGGGGTGAGGATACGGGGTCCAGAGTGGGCAGCAAATGAAGACTTTCTGAGTATCATGTGCTGTGTGTATCGCATGTGTGCTTAATATCTGATGAATATCAGTGTCATCTATATTCAACTTAGGCATAAGGTACTTGTCACTTTTCTGTAATGAACACAACTAAATTCTACCTGTTAAACTGCTTAGTCATCGTCTACTCTTAATCGTTTGCCTGTCTCACCAACTACAATTATTATATGATGAACAAGCAAAGAAACTGTAAGTTTTATCTTGTACTGGAGGCCTGGTGCACAAAATTAGTGCATGGAGGTTAGGGGAGAGTCCCTCAGCCTGGCCTGCACCCTTTTGCAATCCAGGACCACTGGCTCCTAACCACTCGCTTGCCTGCCTGCCTGATTGCCCCAACCACCCTGCCTGCCTGACTGATGGCCCTTAACCACCTCTGCCTTGGCCCCGCCACTGTGGCTTCATCCAGAAGGATGTCCAGAATGATGTCTGGAAGGTTGTTCAGTTGTCTGGTCTAATTAGCATATTACACCTTTATTATTATAGATAGTAATACTGAATCTCCTCAGAATCAATGCACATTACAAGCTGTGACCTGTACTCACACGTGTGTTAGATTGACTGGGTCCAAAGGTTCATATCAGGGCAAGCAGCCAAGTCAAGCTCTCACCCTGTCAAGTGGCCAAGGCATTGGCTTGGCTTTTTTGTGAGTCTCATTGTCCTCAGTGTAAAAGGCCACTCAGGAATGGCAATGGTTACATGGGATAAAACATGTACCATTCTTATTGCAGGGTTTGGCAAGACTCACTGATACTCAATAAATAGATTTCAGGGCGATGATTAATGAGCCCAACTGGAAAGAGGGGTGATGCAGGGCACAGTTTTGAGGTGCTCCTGGGAAGGAAACAATAAGAGAAGTTTGGGGATCTGTCTTCTCCCCATGGCAGCACATCTGCTGTAAGTCCTCGTGGCTATCTGTGCACATAGACTTCACACAGTGAGGCACCTTCACTGGACACACAGGGACCTTGCAGATAAGGCAGCAGAGGTCGACTGGCATGGAAGAAAGATGTAGTATGTGCGTGTGCGCCTATGTTTCCATGTGTGAGTGCATGTATGCCTCCTTCCAGAAATAAAAGAGCTAAGACGGGAAAATGGACAGATTGTGATTACAAATTCCTCCCATGGCTTCTGTCTGGGGAAGAAGAGAGAGAGAGAGAACCCACAAAAGGCAGTGTTTTCAGAGATTCTTTCCTTTTCATCCCAGTAGCCTCAAGAGCTTGGATCTGGTCCACTCCTCGACTCAGCCCTGGAAGGACAGAGGAAGCTGACTTGAGCTCCCTTGGCCGAGGTGCCATGGCCAGTCTCTCCCCAAGCCTACTGCTCCTGGTGGCCATTATGGTTCTTGAACCCAGAGATATGCGCACCTGGGGCTGGAAGAAGGTGGTGAGGGAATTCAAAGACATCCCGGAAACCTATGTCTATGTGCAGCAGGCACTGTGGTTTGCCATGAAGGAGTATAACAAGGCCAGCAAAGATAAGTACGCCTTCAAGGTAGTGAAAGTGCTGAAGTCCCAGGAGCAGGTTGGTGGGCATTTGCTCCTTCATTTCTCTGCATGACTGTGGTCATGGTGGGGCCATCATATATGTATGGAAAGTGGCTCAGAGATGCCTTTAGCCATATATTTTAATTTTATATTTTAGGGGTTATTGGAATAAAATTCATTGTAATGTGTCCTTTACTATTCTGAAATGAAATATAAAATATCCATTATGGTAACTTAAAATTGATTTTAGTCACATCATAAAACACAGGTAATAGCCCAGAAGGGCTATTAAAGAGTCCAAGTTTGGGAAATTTTGGCTAATATCAAAATGAGTGAGACAGGGATTTCAAACAAGCAAAGAAACTGCAGCTCTAGTTTTCACTGATAAAAAGAATCAGGGCAGAAAAGAGAAGGCTTTTCGTTACACAAGAATGCCTACTTATAGCCCTAGCCAGGTTCTCTCAGTGGTTAGAGTGTTAGCCCACAGACTGAAGGGTCAAAGAGCATGTACCTTGGTTGTAGGCTCGATCCCTGGTCCTGATCGGGGCATGTGCAGAAGACAACCAATTGATGTGCCTATTTCATATTGATGTTTCCCTGTCTCTGTCTTTCCTTTTCCCTTCCACTCTCTAAAAATCAGTTAGAAAAAAATATCCTCAGATGAAGATTTTTTTTTTTAAAGGAATGTCTACTTACAGATGTATCTAAAAAAACTACCTTTTGCAATGACCATGGTAACCACTAATTCAGGGAAAAGATCATTAATAAATTCTACAGCCATTGGGTGAGAGAGAGCTGGAGAACAAATTTCTTAATTACAATGGGGAAAAGATGCATTGTCTGATGAACACCTCACTCCACAATGTACCAACTAGAAAAATTGAAATCATGTGCCCTGATGTGATATCCCTGAAAGGACGCAATACCAACCTGTTTATGTTATTCTTACACACAAAACTGTCATGAGAAACAATTAAAAAAAACACACCATATTATGGGGCCATTCCATAAGTTCACTTAAAAATATGTACGTCACCCTGTCTGGTGTGGCTCAGTTGGTTGGGAATCGTTCCGTGCACCAGGGGTGGAGGTGAGTGGGGGTGGGGGTGGGGGTGCCAGCTTGATCCCCTGTTGGGGCACATGCCCCAGTGCAGTTCAGTCCCCAATGGGGATGTATGGGAAGCCACTAATTGATGTTCTGCTCTCACATTGACGTTTCTCTTTCTCTCTACCTCTCCTACCTTCCTCCTTCTAAAATCTTTAAGAAATTTTTTTTTTTTTTAAAGATCAGTGTCATGAAAGACAGGGAGAAAAGCAGGGACCCTGTTCTCAATTAAAAGAGGCTTAAAAACATGACAGTAAATGTAATGTGTGGTCCTGTATTATCTCTTGGATTAAAAAAATTACTCATCTAGAGGAAATAGTGAATAACATAGACTGATGAACAAGAACAGACCCAGAGATAAGGAGTCATGGTCAGACTGTTGGACCTCAAAGGGAGGGTGGGGATAAAAGGGAGAGATCAACCAAAGGACTTATGTGCATACATATGAGCCTAACCAGTGGTCGAAGACAATAGAGGGGTGGGGGCATAAGTGGGGGAGTGGGGAATTGGAATGGGGAGTTGAGGACAAATATGTGATACTTTAATCAATAAAAAAATTAATTAAAAATAAGTAAATATATATATATATTAAAAAAGAAAACACATAAGGATATGCAAAAAAATTAAAAAATTATAAAGGCCCAGTTGAGTGTGACTCAGTGGTTGAGTGTCAACCCGGGAACCAAGAGGTCACCAGTTCGAATCCTGGTCAAGGCGCATGCCCAGGGTGTGAGCTCAATTCCCAGTAGGGGGCATTCAGGAGGCAAGCCGATCAATGATTCTCTCTCATCATTGATGTTTCTATCTCTCTCTTTCTCTCCCTTCCTCTCTGAAATCAATAAAAAAAAATTTTTAAAACATTATAAAGAATGTTATTAGGTCAATTAGAGGAATTTAAATATAGATTATATCATAGAGGCGACCATTGAACCAGTTAGTATTTCCTAAGAAAGATAACTATGCTGTGGTAATGTAAAAGGTCAAGATAGGACTGGTGGCTAGTTGGGAGCTGTAGAGTGTGATTTAAATCAGCCTGTTTTTATGATTGGTAAACATCCCTCAAATATAAAGCAATCATTCTAAGTTGCATATGGATTTTGCTTGGTAGGGGAATTTGGCAATAACTGGAGACATTTTTGCTCATCACAACTGAAGGGCCAGCTATTCACATCCAGTGGGTAGAGGCCAGGAAAGTGGCTGCTAAACACCCTCCAGTGCAAAGCCACTACCCCCACCCCCGAGAGTGATCCAGCCCCAGTCAGGGCTGAGGTTGAGAAACTTGATCTGTAGTCATATTCAAGTTCTAGGAGTACCTATGTTTGGAATTTGTTGAGTTAAAAAATGAAAGTGAACAGTCTATTTCTCACATTTCCAGTCTGACTCAGCATTCCTGCAGGCACCATCAGACATGGTTTGCTCTGTCCCTCCAGACATATTCTATACGCTTCCCGCCTACTTTCCCATTTTCTCATGTGGCCAGGCCTGAAGATTAATTCAGCAGTCCATACTAAAAATGAAGATAGCATGAAACCACACTTACCAGATTTCTGCCTACCGCACCCATGTGGTTCAATGCCCAGGCAATTTATCTAGAATTTCTAAAATATTGGCTATATTTTCTGAATTATTCCTATTCTTCTGGAGTAAGTTATTGTGTTTAACTTGGCCATCCTCTTTCACATGTTCTCTCGCCTAAATCTTGTAAAACTTGTTTTCTTCTCATTCATTTTTTAATGATAAAAGTCTACATTTACCATTGTGTGGCTCCAGGTCCTCACAAGGCACTCCTGAATAGAGGCCAATGGTGGACTCTGCACAGAGAAGGTGCCCAGGAAGTCAGGAATTTTGGAGGGTATATCATATGGGATAAGGTGTGTATTGTCAAAATCGCCAAAGCATGGTAGGCTTTGGTGAGAAGCAATGCACTCTAAATATGTTTCAGTTTTGGGATGTCTTTTCTATTGACTAGGCATGAAGATGCTATAACCTCTGTTGTCTTCATCCCAAACTCCAATAAAGTTCTATTGGGAATAGTTTTCTTGCTTTATCTTGGGACAATTGTTGCTACTTTAAAATAAAATGCCATAATGAGAGAGAGAGAGAGAGAGAGAGAGAGAGAGAGAGAGAGAGAGAGAACCCTCTCTCCCAATTATTCCAAAACTTCTGGCAAGGAAACTGTGGGAGAGAGGATAATTGACCCTAAGTAGACATGTTTATTTATCAGAGATGACTATTATTTTATATCTAATTTTTAAATTATTCATTGACAGGTCACGGATAGTTTGAACTACTTTCTTGAAGTCAAAATTGGCCGAACAATGTGCAAGAAAGCTTTAGGAGAAAATGAAAACTGCTTATTGCAAAAGTTTCCTGAAATGCAAAAGGTATGTGACTAAGACAGGGGGGAATGGCCATGGTTAGGTTTGTGTCCCAGACAGACAAAACTGATAGAACCAGCCTTGCTTTGATTTTCAAGTTTCCTTTTCAAACCATATTCTGACCATATTCAGAATTGAGGATGGCCAGGTTCTAGATTTAGAGCACTGTTTTTATTATATTATGCTGATACCACCTTCTCCCTTGCCAATGTGTGCGCATGTGTGCACCCTTGCCAATGCGTGCACACGTGTGCACACACACACACACACACGTACACACACACACTTACATACACACTTTAGTGTTTAAAGCAACACAAAGCCATTACTTTTCATTCTTCTGCATTCTGGGCTGAGTTCTGCTCCCTGTGTTATGTGCTGGGGTGAGAATGTTCTAGACATGAGCTCTACTTACATAGCTGGTGTCTCAGCTTTGTATTTTGTGCAACTTCAATTCTACTTGATGCTGCCATTCACATTTCTACTGATGCTATGCAGGTGTCCCCATGTTGTTTTTATTCTAACTGAATAACACTTTTAGGAGAGAGAGGAAGGACACAAGACAACTCATCCCACATGACATGTGCCCTGACTGGAAATCAAACCCCTAACCTTTTGGTTCCTGGGTGAGCCTGAATCCCTGCTCAGTCTGTAAGTCCTGGAAAGAGCACTGTGTGTCTCTTCCCAACTTCCAGACTGAAAGTTTTCTTGGTGATATCTGTCCAGGCTTTGAACCCCACCCCTCCCCAAGGAATGCAGGTCCCTGCACTATTCTCTTCGGGTTGCCTCCCCTGGGAGGACCCACTGGGCCCTCCGTGTGGTATGGGCTGCAAGGAAGTTGGCCCAACTAGATGAAAAGCATAGCTGGAAGTGAGGATTTCTGAGGATAGCCGGTTCTCAGGCCATCCTGGAGCAAACAGCCATGGCTATGATGGCTTCCATCTCAGGAAAGCAAATTGGCAGGAGCCCATCCTGCCGAGAGGCTGGCTCCTCACGCCTTAAAACAAAAACTTAAAAAATATATATTTTTTCTTTCTTAAAGCTGATTATTACTTTTTGTCTCTTTTAGATGCTTCATTGCACCTTTATTGTTGCAACCAAACCCTGGATATTTGAACTCGCTCTGCAGAAGAAACATTGCAAAGATGTCTAATTGTCTTCCAGCACATCTGTCAGTCTCACTTTCCTATAAAGAAGCAACAACATCTGCAAAATACTTAAATAACACAGCTGTCCCACTGACTTCATTCTTGTGGGCTTTTTTTGTTTCTCTGTGTGTGTTGTTCAGGGGCTGATGGTGGGAATGTGTTGGGCACATATTTTACAGTGTTGGGCAGACTCTTCCAGTTGGCAATTCATCCCCTGGCAGAGACAATCTTCTACTGAGAATTGGAGAGAGTGTGAACTTGTCTCCATATTTTACCAAGTTCTGAGCACAAGTCACTTTTCACTGACAGCCTTACAAAGAACCAAACGGAGAACCCAGCTGCTTCAGGCTGGCGGGTAGATTTTGCACAGTTCCTAGGGTCTGGTTGCCGTGAGAGTGCCCTCATGGATTCATCCATAGATTTCCACAGAAACCTTCCTGCCTAGAACTTATGGGAAGACAAAGCCTAATGGCTTATAAACAGTTTTAGACTCCAGATCAACCCAGGAAATCACTGGATCATTTGGAGATTTATATTTCACCTTTGGTTTTGAAGTGAGGGAGAAAAAAAAATGCACGAGTGACAGTGAATGGAGAGTAGGTTGCATTTGTGTGTGTGTGTGTGTGCGCGCGCTCACTCGTGCATCACAGTAGGATGCATTATCTAATGCTGCATAACTATTATATTATCTAATAACCCTGCTTTTAGTGGCTTAAGCAGTTTGCTATGTCTCTCCTGGTGTCTGTGGGTCAGGTGTCAGGGGTGGCTTGGCTGGGTGGTCCAGTTTTATCTCTCATGAGGTTACACTCAGACAGTGACTGCACTGCCCTCACCTGAAGCCTGGAGAAACCACTTCCCAGGTGGCTGCGGGTTGGTGTTGGCTGCTGGCAGGAGTCTCTGTTCTCTTCCACATGGGCCTCTCCCAGGGCTGCTGTGAGCTTGGCATGGTGACTGGCTTCCTCCAGACAGAGTGTTCTGAGAGACCAAGATGGAAGTCAAGATGCCCCTTGTGACCGAGATTCCGATATTACAAACCATCACCTCCTCCTTTGGTTATTGGTCACCTAGTTCAGTATGGAAAGGGACCCTACAGGGGCATAAGGGCCAGGAATTGAGAACCAGTGGAGGATCTTGAGGCTGGCTACCATAGTGTGTGTGTGTGTGTGGGGTGGGGTTTGAGATGATGAAGGAGGTTAACATGTCCAGAAGGAGGCACTTTCTGAAACTTGAATGTGGAAACTTTAGCACTGGTATGCAGGCCAAGGTCAGCAGGGAAATGTCAATACTAATGTAGGAGTGAGTTCTAACTTAGACATGTGAGAGATGCTGAAGTGCAGAGGTCACCTTGCTGGCAGGTAAACACGCTCCAAGAGTTCTTTTCTAGCAGGATCGATGACAAGCACCTGAGCCTCTTTGTCTAAGGGTTTCCTCACCAGGAGGGACAGGCTAGAGTGCTGGGAAGGTAAGGCCCCTGGAAGGAGCCCTCTGTGAGTGGCTGAAATTGGAGGATAAATATCCCAGCCTTCTGGGGCCCCAAACTTTGACCTACCAGGTCTTTGGGAGGTGCCCAGCAAGATGGAGCCCATTGCCCACATTCTGATTCTGCTCACTGTTCTATGCTGCTTCCCCTCTCCTTCCCCGTGATCCTCTCTGGTGTTTTCTGGGATCACCTCCAAGTAAACCATTTGCACCTGAATTTCTGTCTCAATGTTAGCTTCCAGAGGAAACAGCCTCATAGGGAGCCCAGGTCCACTGTGAGAAGCAGCCTGAGGCCATCTGGTAGCTTGCCGGGGTAAGGTCAGGCAGCAGGTCATACTTCATCTGCGCTTACCTCGTCTCACTCAGCTGGTGGGAGAGGCATGCCTTTGCCTTCCTCCTCCTCAGTTTTCTCACAGAGTAACTACTACACAGAGGGAGTAGTTTTGCCATATTGCTTCTCTCCACCTCCGGAAAGGGATGCTACCTGCAGCACCTGTAGCCAGCTCCCCTCTGCTCACCTCTGTTCTTAAGTCCCAACTACTGTGGGTGAGCAGTCTGTGCTGGCAGAGCATGTGCTCCTGGGATCTGTAGCCAGAGCTGGCGGGCCCCACCTGGACCCATGAGCAGCCCCTCAGAACGTCTTTCTCCTCTGAGCCCTGATAGTGGTTGCACACCTGGAGGGACCTGAGACGTTTACACATCTTGGGCCGGTCATTTTCATCTTAGCATTAATACCTAGTGCAAGCACGTGGAGCCAACCAACCTTTACTGTCCACATCCGGGGTCAGCAGTGCACTGCTTTGGGTTTAACTCTTTTTTTAAAATATATTTTTATTGATTTTTTTACAGAGAGGAAGGGAGAGAGATAGAGAGCTAAAACATCGATGAGAGAAAAAAACACCAACCAGCTGCCTCTTGCACACCCCCTACCGGGGATGTGCCCACAACCAAGGTACATGCCCTCGACCGGAATCGAACCTGGGACCTTTCAGTCTGCAGACCGACGCTCTACCACTGAGCCAAACCAGTTTCGGCTGCTTTGGGTTTAATTCTTCAAAACCTTCTGGGACCTTCTCACACATTGAGTCAGGATGAAGAATCAGGATCGACAGCTCAATTGATTAATGAGATTTTTTATTTGCTCAAGGTTGATGATGTTTTATGTGCTATGGAGGGAATTAGAACATATGGGTGTTCAGATTTCTGAGGCAACTCAGTATTGGCTCATTCTCCCAAGGTTTGAAGGCTCATTAAAACCTGTGACCTTGGCCACCCAAAGGACCAGCTGCCCATGAGAAGTAAGGCTTCCAATCCTTCTCCTTGGAGATGGTGCTTCTTAGGTGATATTTGGATGACAGAGCATTGACTTTGGGATCGTGTCCCTTTCCCCTCCTAGATCATAATAAAAATTGAGGCTGTGCAGGTGGGGTGAGAGAAAGAGTCAAAAATGCATCTTTCAAGCAGGGTGTGTTTCTTTCCCAGGATGAATGGGCATGGAGGCGGGGCAGGGAGAAATCAGAGTTCTAATCCTATGGGCTGTACCAGGACCTCAGGGGGTGGTGTGAGCAGTAGGGACCAACCTGAACATTTGGAATGCGTGAGGTTGTGCTGAGGAGCATGCAGGGCAAGGACCAGCAGAGCTCATCTCTGTGCACATCATCTGACAGCACTGCCCCTGGCCCCAGCCTCCTTTCCCTTCCGTTGTCCCCGTGCGAGTGGCAGGGAATCTGCAAAGGCCTTCTGGAGTTCTGCAACTGTGGTTACTTTGTGTTTAGTTCTGTACTTATTGAGCCCCAGGGCTGTGCCATGACCCTGACACCATGGGAAGCCGAGGAAAATGTCCAAATGTCTTCTGGCAGATGGGGACGTGACTGCAGAACAGAACACAAGATATGAATGCAGAACACTTGATAACTGACACAGCAGCTATTTGCTTAACTTGATTGTTAGCTGCAAGCCTGAGAATTCACTCCTGCAAATGTTTGGCAGCAAGTCTTGGCTTTCCGGTGGTTCCAGGAAATGAAGGGGCAACAGTACTGTCTCCTGGTATATGGGACTCACGTCCCAACCCTCACAGGGTGCCCAAGGTTCTGGGTGTTATCGCTGTGGAGCGCCAATGGCTGGTCTTTCAGGAATTTCAGGGAAGTTTCCAGCCTCCCTCAGTGTGAGGCTTAGAAGCAAAGCCCATTCCTATGTGACCTATGGGCACAAGGCCTAGAAGCCACACATGTGCCCAGGGTCTGGGAATGCCCATAATGGAGAGGGCATGAGCCCTGACTTTCACAGGAGAGGTACATCTCCAACAGCATTTCCTTCCAATTTTTGCTTTCAGGCATCATCTGTTCCGACCCCTCTTTGCATTGAGTTAACGCACTTAGGATGTTGTTGAACATTATGTATGAGACTTGAACTCTGAGTGTGGCTGAGCCACGTTCCCCTAAGAATCTTGGCTGGCAAGTCCTTGGGAAGCAGAAAGGGCTGCTCCCTTGGGAGTCCTGCACTGCAGTGTTCACTCAGGTCTCTCAGCTTCTGGCCTTGAGTAGCTCAGAGGTGCATACAGGCCCAAGTAGCCTCAGTGCTCCTGGGCGGGTCAGCAGCTTCCTGTGTAGGCCATGGCTGCTCCTGCTCTTTCCCTCTTATTCCATAGGGTCCTGGAAGTGGTTTGGCTTCTTCTTGTGTCCTTGAGGACTTTCATACCTTAGTTATAAGGGTCAGATGTCCAGTCTACTGAGCCAGCTGGTCCCCTGCCTATGTCTTGTCCTAGGCAAGAACTTTGGGAAAAGGAGGATGGAATGCGAACTGTCCCTGCAGCCAGAGCTTCCTCCATTTAATTCAGGGCTCTATTGTGTAGGATGCCTTTCCCTAAGACCCGCTCCAGGGGTGGAAACCTGGCCTCATGTTTTCTTAGAAGTAAACTTCATGACTATCGGTGACACATGCTGACCTGTGCACCCAGGCTGCTGCTTGGAGCTCTCAGGAGGAAAGTCCAAAAGCACATCATGGGGGCAGACTACATCATAGTGGTGACCTCTGGGAGCTTGGAGTTTTCCAGGTTCATGAAAAGAGAAAATGTGGGGGGGGGGGGCACAAAGATCATCTCTGCTGCATATAGGGTTCATAATTAACTTTTTTATTGAGTTAATTGTAAATTCACATACAGTTGTACATAATAACACATAGACATTCCCAGTTTTTCCCCAATGTTATCTTTTGTAAAACTACAGTAAAATATCACAATCCAAGGTGATTGATATTGATACATAAATCTGTTTTACTCAGATTTCCCCAATTGTATTTGTACTGTTGTGTGTGTGTGTATATATACACACGCATTAGGCTCTATACAATTATTACTCCTTTTTAGGAGTTATATATCTACTACAAATTCCAACATTACAAGAATTTCTTGTATTGTCCTTCTATTGTATAAGCACACCAACCTCATCTGCTCCCCACCCCCATTCTCAATTTCTCATATTTACCCCTTGGCAACCTCTAATTTGTCTTATGTTTCCATAATTTTGTCATTCCAAAATGACAATGGGAGTCACATTCCAAAATACAAGTAGAATCATATAGTATATAACCTTTGGAATTAAC